TGTGACTCACTGGAATAAGGAAAGGAATTAACGCGGGTGCCAGCAGACCCGGCAGAATGTATTGTTCTGTACTGTGGCACAGAGTGAAATGTGAGTCCTGTTTTAAGGGGTGTTACTGCTGATTCTCTAATGTGACGATGGACATACAGTGTGGGGGGAAGTGAGGATAATTGAAGATTGAGGTGTTACCACAGCTGGCTTGAACAGCTATGTGCAACATGAGCATCACAATCATGAAGCAGACTGCAGAAAATCAGAGAAGACATTAGTTCTTTGGAAGAAAGCAAGTTCAAGGTCATTTCTAAGTTCCAGCTTCCACCTATTACTAACTGAAGCTCTTTGAGCCTGACTCAATTTGCGAAAATCTAGTATATTGATTTCCTGTGCCTATTTGATATCAGGGTTCTGTCAAAGTAGCAATTCTTAGCCTTTTACAGTGTGTAAGCCATATGTAACTTCACCTAATTCTTAGATTTTCAGATAGGTCAGGCAAATGAAAAGGTAAGGTAGCAGAGGCCAGAGGACAGCTGTATCTAACATGTGGGTTGCAGAAGGGGTCAGCAAAGGAATCCAGAAGGATGGGCAGTGTGTAAATAAGGGAGAATTCATACTGAAATGGCAGGAAGTACACAAATAGCATCCTTGATTGTTAAGTTAGCAGAACTCAGGAAAAGGTGGATACTCCGAAAATGTTAGAAAAACTGCTTCTATCTGTGACTCCCAACCAGGGACCACAATTAGATTTTGGCAATGTCTAGAGATATTTTAACTGTCTGCTTGGAGGTTGCTGGTATTCATGTAGAGAAGACATACAATAAAAATTCTTTTTAAAAAAGGCTAAAAACTGGACACTTCTTTCAGAATTGATGTAAGAAGCCAAGGATATCAGACTATAACAGAGGAACCCAAAGCAGAGTGAGAGGGTGGCTAAGCTAACATTAAAATAGTAATGTTCCATCAATCCAAACACACCATTACACCGGGAGATTGAAACTGTTCATGCATGACTCATCCGTCAATCACAGCTCCTGACTTGATATGACAGGTATGGCAGGTTATGAGGTAATCATCAATAATTTCTCCAATTATAAAATTATGTACAAGTAGAAATATATTAAATATTTTGCTTTTCTCTAAATTTCAGGATGCTTTATGTTGGATTCTGTTGTTCATTACTAATATATTTACAGGTCTAAGAATTGGGAATTTATCTTTCATAGTAAAGTTAACTTGTTGTATTTAAGTTTCAATAGAAACATAATTTTTTAAAAAAATAACTTTTAAATTGTTTAGAGAAAATGTTGAGCCTTCAGGTTTCAGTAACTATCTTTTGAGAAACTGATGTTATTTTAAGCAGTATCAATTTTGATTTACCAAATATGCATCTATTCAGATAGCCAGAAACTTGTCACAGATCCAGAATCCCTCAACCCTCAGTCTCTCTTGCTGTGAAACTGTGCCAACTAATACAGCAACCGTACGAGGTATATAGTAGTTCTTATCTTAAGAAAGCAAGAAACAAATTTGACCAATTAAAACTAAAATTATAGGGCTGGAGAGATGGCTCAGAGATTAAGAGCACTGGCTGCTCTTTCAGAAGACCTGTCTTGGTTCCCAGCACCCACATGGGTCACAACCATTTCTAACTGCAGTTCCAGAAGACATGATACCAACTTTTTGCCTCTACACACACAAGACACACATGTGGTACACATACATACATGAAGGGAAAACATTCATATCCTAAAATTAAATATGCTTAAAAAGACGAAAATCATTTTTAAACAGAAAAGCACGAAGAGTAAAAAGCAAGCAGCCCTGGTCTTCTAGTATCTCCGTTAACGTGACAGGAAGTTACTGAAAATGTCTTGCAGTGCTGGACTATTGATTAAGTAAAGTTTGTGCCCCCAGAGGACTCATATTAGAATTATACGGAAAGGTAATGAGAGAGGGGACTAATTAGGCTTCTGCTCTCAAGAATGAATTAATTAACAGATAAATGTGTTTCCTTGGCAATGGCTCTGTATTAGATGTGATTTGGAAAGTTCTTTCATACAATTGCTGTTTCTTTCCATATGATGCTCCTGGGACTCTGCCAACAAGAAGGCCATGGACTAGTTACAGACATCAGTGTTGGATCAGAACCGTACCCAAAGTTCATCTCTCTTTTATAACTTACGGAGTCTCTGGTGTTCTGTTATTAACAACAAAACTGAACTAACGCAATGGAATCACAGACAAGGTTCTTTTCTTTATTTTTCCAACTACTTTTGATGTTCCTTTAATAATAGAGAAAAACAGAAATGCATACTGCTCTTAATGGAGTCTTTAATAAGTGCTGTTTTATACTGCAGCTGTATGCTTTAGTAATAATCACTGAGGGACTGAAGTAGCAGCCAGGCACAGCTTTCTGTGAAGTGCAGGACAAGCCAGGGCGACTCAAGCTCTACAGATCTCTCACTCAAACTCATCTGTCCAGCTTTTAACAGGAAGTGAGTTAAGTCATGGCTACAGGAACTATAAATGACTGATAGCAGCTTCTAAATGAAAATGGCTCATTCCCCAAAGCAAAACAAAACAAAGGGGATTAAATAGGTGAGCTCTAGTCTTCCACAAGCACCTGACTGAGAACACATATTCTAAGCTATCAACTAATAAAGGCAGAACTAGAAATGGCTGGCCTTCTCCTGTGTTTCTCGTAGGTTGTTTTGTTGTGACCTTGAACTGTGGATGTGACCCTGGACATCTCCTAAAAGCCGGAAATCCCACCGGAATGATTTTGATGGAGTAAGTTATAATCTGTGACCTTCCTGATTGTATTGCAGCAACAACAACAGGCCCCATGTAATGGTGTAGAAAGACTTTTGAGTATTTGGGTAATACTTTAAATGCCAAAATGGGAATGAGTCCATAGGGTTCCACCCCTGTGACTGTACAACTGCACACTCAGAAGCTGTACCTTGAATTCATTAGCATCATTAGATATCATTTCTCCACCACACTCTGTATTAACCAATGTAGAATTGCTTAAAATATCACAGAATTTCTTCCTTTGATTGCTGTTTGTTAAAGATGTATGGAGCATATTTTAAATTAATCCACAAAACAGAAATGCCAATTGAAGAATGTAAAGGAAAACTGAATTCATAAAGTAATTTCTGTTAAGTCACCTCTAAAACTTCAAAAGTGCTGGTATTTGTTTCAACAAATAGCATCTGCAAATCCAGCCAAGTCTTCCCCAATTTCCTGCTCCAAGCCTGAAGTGTTTCAACACAAAACGGTGTTTTTCTGCCATCTAGTGGCCACTTTCTAGTACTGCGGAGATATGTGTTGAAATGCAGGTCCACAAGACAACAAAATCCCTGTTTTAAAGTTCTAGATTTAATAAAAGAATCGGAAACAAAGGTTCATTGACATTACAAAAAAATATTTAGAATAAGTATGGGAAGAATAAAATTTAAGATATAAAATAAATCAAAGGCCAACTCTTAAGTGGGCTGGATTGAAAAAGTATTTCTATACCGCTCCATAAAGAAACAATACAATTTTCCCAGAGAAAAACGTTTCCAAACAATCAGCCTCAATCCACCACTATTTAAAACAGCAGTTCTCACCCTGTGAGTCACAGCCCTTTTAGGAGGATCTGAGGACCTTTTCACAAGGGGTTGCCTAAAACCATGTGAAAACACAGATATTTACATTATGATTTATAACGGTGGCACCATTACAGTTATTAAGTAGCAGCAGCGATAATTTTATGGCTGAGGGACAATACTACATGAGGAACTGTATTACGGGGTGTCAGCATTAGAAATGCTGAGAACCACTGTCTTAAAAGCATCTTAAGCACTTTCTCTTGTTTTAAGGACAACTGCAAAATGCATGTTATACTTTTAATACTCAAGATAAAAGGATGGGCAGTGTTGCATTCCTGCATCCATACACTTAACTTCCTGTGTACACGAGCTCAAATGTAAACACGTGGTCAGTTTGGGGCCAACGGGATCAGAAGTCCCATTGCCATTTGTCATTCTGTGGTCTCTGATTTTCCCCAAGACTAAGGAAGATTCCCTCTCTGAGCAGTGACCAAAACTTCTTCCACCAAGCTCAGATGTGTCTCTACAGCTTTATGTGACTTTAGGATCTAAGGCTTCTTACAACACAGTGGATGTGGATGACAGTATTTCTGTTTGAAGCTACGGTGCCATTAAGCAGGCATTCATTGTCAAGGGTTGTTTGAAGCATTTAGTCTATATCCATGTGTCAGTAAGTAGATAGGTATATACAGTAGGTCGATGGCTAATGGTAAAGTAGCAGTATTAAACAATAAGGATTAAACACACGATGTAAAAACATGAAACTGTGAAAAAAAAATGAGCAGTGTGAACTCTAAAATTACAAACCCACCTGAGGCCTCCTGAGCTCGATACAGTCCCCTCCTCGTGTATAGCTACATTTTATACTGTAAGACAGCTGGCAAGCATCTCGCATGTGCAAGCTCAGACCAAAACTGCCACCTACACACCCCTACACAGATCTTTGGCCTCCAAGCACTTGTCCTAAGAATATGCTCAAGTCTCAAGTGGGGATTTTGCAGAGTCTCCGATGTCTTGCTCTCCCTGAGAGAAGACCCTCAGTGAAACTGCTAAGGGCCCTAAGGCGTCAATAACGTAAGGTTGCTAAGGAGAGTGTTCATGGGGCAGAGATGCGTGTGAAACATGACTTCTAAGGTACCCTCAGGCTCAGCATTCCTATCCTGGAATGGTGCTTTAAGACAGAAATGAGACAACTTCTCCCAAAACAAGGGAGAGCTGCTGTCTACCAAGCTGTTATCTGTATTACGCCCATGAGACTCTCAAGCGAAAACTTAGCTTCCCTGATTGGCAACATCGAGCATGGAAACCATTTTCCCTTCACCCTGTGTTCATTCTGTCAGAGATGTAAGCATGCCAAGCACACAGAGAGTTTCTCATTATCTGCAGATGGATGTGCGGACTCACCAGACTGTTCATTTTGGAAGAGGAGGACCCCGTTCTGTGCTTTCTCAAGCTGCTGGCTTCCACATGCCCATCCTTCGGCTTTAAGACCATTCTGCCGCTCCCTGCTGTCCCTTCAGACGAGGACCGCAGTCGTCGCTCTATATATCTTCCTTCTCGATATGGACTGAGGCTACTGGCAAGAACTTTTGCAAGACAAATAAAGAAAAATGAATATCAATGCTGAAATGGAATTCTTAATGTACTATTTTAAGATAAAGAAAAACCCTAGAATGATTCAAAAGGTTTCTACCTCAGAAAAAAGTTGTGAGTTTATAGTACCAATTTGTTTCCTCCCCTTTGAAGACTCACAGCAGCCACAAAAGCAAATCTGTCTGTGTACCATCACTCAGGCATCTGAGGCAAGAAGAGTGCTGCTGGTTAGAGGCCATCATCCTCTTCATGGGGAGTTAGGGTCAGCCTGGGCTACCAATTAGCAGTTTGCTTCAAAATTATCAAACAAAAGTATGTAGTCCAACATCAGATATACTCAAAACAAAGTCATATATTTAGACTACAAAACTGGTGTGCTCTGAAGAGACTTGTGATTTTTGATATGATATGTCATTTGATTTACTTCTAATTTTATTGATATTTTAGATAATTCCTAAAATATAGCATAACTACTAAGAGTCTAAATTTTGTATCAGGATAACTTCCACCTGCTTGTGCTATACAATAGCTTATTTTTAGATCTGCAAAATCTGAAACACAAGGAGCCCAACAGTTCCCACCCAGCAAACTGCTCCTGTGCTTCTGCGAGTGGAAGTGTGTCTTCCCTGAGCCCCAGTCCTATTGCTTAAGAAAGAGTTTACACTTCTAAGAACAGGCAAAATCATTTTAAGCAATGTTTATAAACAGCATACATTACAACTGGATACATAATCATCTTTTTCAGCTTTGAAACAGTTACTACTAGCAGCAGGGCTAATGACAGAGAAAATAGTAATTTTAGTGCATAAATTAGTCAATGGAGTGGGACACATTCAACAGTTGCCTTGAGTATTTTCTAGACCCAAAGTGAAATAATTCACACACACACACACACACACACACACACACTCATACACACTCATATTCACACAAACACACACTCATACTCACACTCACACACACTCATACACACTCATACTCACACAAACACACACACTCATACTCACACTCACACACACTCATACACACTCATACTCACCCACACACTCATACTCACCCACACACTCATACTCACACACACACTCATACACACTCATGCACACTCATACTCACACACACACTCACTCACACACACACTCATACTCACACTCACACACACTCATACACACTCATATTCACACAAACACACACACTCATACTCACACTCACACACACTCATACACACTCATACTCACACAAACACACACACTCATACTCACACTCACACACAACCATACACACTCATACCCACACACTCATACTCACACACACACTCATACACACTCATGCACACTCATACTCACACACACACTCATACTCACACACACACTCATACACATACACACACACATGCACACACATAAATGTAGTCCTATACACACTCATATTACAGTCAAGGTGAAGGCATTTAAAACTAATTTAGCTAATGTTGAGGTTGGCTTTAACCTTGGCAGGCTTTCTAACTCCACTTATTTTCATAGCCTGCAATCCCTCTGTATTGCCATATAGAATTTATTCCTATTGAAACATGAATTCTAGCTAGTAGAGTTTTGTTAACACGGGAAGCAGAATTGAATTTTCACACACTTCCTTCCTGAAGATTTTGACTGGCATGCCTTTAGCTCAAGAGTACCAATGCTCCTTCAGTCACATTCCAAGTATAGTTTCTTTCCCTCCATCTCCTTTTCCGGTCAGAATAGCTGAAATAATACAGCTAAGAATAATAAGTCGCACAGACTTACATTTTCATTATAGCTGAAGGGAGATTAAAACCAAAGCAAACATTTCACAGAAATTATAAATACAAAGGAAACGTGCCTTCCACTCAAGATATAGAGTAAAAATAATTGTTCAAAAAAATTAAAATTACTTTACATAATTTTTGCATGAGGAAAATCTACATACCTTTGGCAGCACTTGCTTCATATCCATAAGATGTTTTGTTAAAAACATGGTGATCTCCAGAGGAAGGGATTACCCTTGAATCTGAAACAGGGTGGACCCCTTTAAAGCGTTCAGCCAGTACCTTGTGCTGGTCATAGGATCCCAGTGTCCTGGGGGAGCTGGTCCTCAGCATTGTTTCACCAGCTTGTGCCGAGGCGTTCTCTACTCTTTGATGATCAGCTGGTAAGTGGGTCTCTGGGTCACTAGCATTTCTAACAGTGCTTTGTAGTAGCTCTTCCCCCTGGTTAGCAGCAGTAGTCTCTGGTGAAGAACGAAATTCAGTGCTACACCGACCTTCTAGCCTGTACCTCCCCGGAGACATCATCACACAGGGCACAGTCCCCACAATTTCCATCCTTGTCTTTGTAACAGCAGTGAGACTGGGAGTGGGCTGAGAGGTAGCATCATTGTGGCCAAAGTTGTCGCAGTGTGATGCCGTGCTTCCACTTTTAGGAAAGGCATCTGCCTCAGACAAAGAATCTTCAGTCAAGGCCAAGAATTCTGAAGGGGTCTGAGCTGTGGTCAGGTCAGCAGAAAGCAGAGGCGACTGTAAGGAACTTCCTGCGCGCTCTGTTACATCCACAGAGCAAGATGGGGAAGGTCTTCCTAAGGCGGGTTCCTGCTCTTGATATTGTGCAATTGCCAGCGAGAATTCAGGCTGCTGTACCAATGATGTGGATTGGCACTGAGGAACCGACTTAGAAAATTTATAGTGAGATGAAAAGGATTTGGGGAGTAGCTTCTTTGTTGACTGTTTAATAGAACGGCGACTTTGTTCTTCTGTGAATCCAGAATCGTCCCCTTCACTTCTGCCAGAACTTAGACAATTTATAAAGACATTCTTATTACTTGAAGTCTCCTTTTCCCTTTCAAAATCTTCCGTCAAAGATCTTGTTATCTTCTTACTTCGTGAACTACTAAAACCCACAGAATGTCTTCCCCTGGTTTTGACCTGTTCCTCCAAACTTAGTTTCTGCATGTTGTTGTGACCGGGTTGAGCACCATTGGAAATACTAAGGTTCTGATCAGTGGGTTCTGGCTTGGGTTCACTCCCCTTCTTATGGTGGAAGCTGATAGAGGGAGCACGGAATATGCTCCTGCGTTTTCCCGTGCTTCCTGAGCTGGAGTTAGTGCTGGAAGGAGAGGAGCTGTGAACACCAGCGGTGTTACCGGAAGAGGGTGAAGAAGGGAGCGAATCATGTCTTCTGCTAATACTTTTCCTAAATATTGGCAACCGGGAGACCAGAGTACATCGTCTTGATCCTGAGTCCCCCATTGGGACCCCGAGGGTTGCACTGTGGTAGCCAATTTAGCAGCCTGAAAAGAGTTAAAACAAAGAAAGCAAGTTAGTAAAATTCAATATTGATCAGGACCCAGCTAAGCAAACTACAGCTTTTTAAAACAAAGAATGAAATTATATTATATAAAAAATAATAGGATGCCAAAATTCAGGATTTAAGGAAATAGAAAAATAATTCACAAACTTGTATTAAAGTCTAACTATGAATTAAAAATTTCAAGAGTATCACAAATATTTAATCTGCTAAAAAGGGTGCTAGGTTGGGAAACACAAGGTCATTATAATAAAACACAGCCATGTTTAGTACCATGTGGTTCAATGGGTGATATACACAACTTAGCTTCTCCATATCACAGGTCTTTTCTAGCTTGCTGCCTTTAATGGACATTGCATATTAAATATGTGAATCTAAATCTTCAATGCTAGGATCCACATGAGACAGAGAACATGCAGCACTTGTTCAGGTACTGGGTTTTCCTACTTATTAGAATACTGCTTAACTCTATCTATTTTCTTGCAAATCTTATGGGTCTGTTCTTCTTAACACCTGAATGAAACTCTATTTGCATATGTGGTACACAGGCTACTGCCACTGCTGTTGGTTGTCCATCACAACTCGATGGTAAAACCCTATTGCTGAAGACAGCACACACTTTGGTTGCAGGACCCCAGAACGATCTGAAAGCTTCCTCCCTGGGACTGAGGAAAGCAGTCAGTGCTCCTATCCAGTTGTAGACCAGAGATGCTACACACAATACTAGCTAGCCAGACAACATATGCTCACTCGTTCAATAGCAACATGAATGCTATGGGAGAAACTAGACAGTTTCTGATTGCATTTTCATCCTGGTACATGGGGATTGGAGGATGTCTCATGGCTGATTCTGTAAATCACATGGATAAGGAGACCAAGGCTAGGTGATCAAGGGACCTGGAGTGAAACTGATCAGTTTTGCTAAGTGAGTATGTTATAATTGCTGCCAAAATACTATCATCATCAATATATGTTTATTAATATATTCCTTGACCTTTTCTTAGCATTTCTTGTTTGAATCAGCACTCAAACTGAAAGAGGAGCTCAATTGTAGGTCTCTTAAGCAAGTATTCCAAAGACTAACGTGTGAAAATGTTTTCAGGAAAGTTTCTATAGTAAGCCTAGTTTACATGCTCCTGAATGCTTAATCCAAATGAGGAGACCTCTCCCTTGTGTTGATTTGTTAACTTGTCCTTGAGTAGATAGAAAATTTATTAAAATAGAAGGTTCTTTGACACCTTATGCTATGAGAAGAACTGTAATAAATTTTGTGATTGTTGAGTAGTTGGTGCCCTCCATCAGGGACCTGTCTCTGGGTGTTTGAATGAGCATGAACCCAACTCACTCCTATATTTGAGTGCTTGGTCCCTATGTGGTGGAACTGCTTGAAAAGAATTAATTGTGGCCTTGTTGGAGGGACTGTAGCACTGGTGACAGACTCTCTGCCTTGATGATCACAGACTTACTCTTTGAAACTGTGAGCAAGCCCCCAATTAAATGCTTTTTTTTTTAAAGTTAGGTAGGTTGGTAGACAGACAGACAGACAGACAGACAGGGGATAGATAGATAGACAGATAGATAGATGGATAGAGGATAGATAGATAGATAGATAGATAGATAGATAAGAAGTTAATTAAACTTTATTTTACATGAGGCCTTGTTTCCTACTGGAAGGATAAAATACCTGTAGCTCAATTTTCCCATAGGCTTGAGAAAGACTCAATAGCACCTGGCGTCTCTCTAAATCTCCGAAGCTGCACTTCTGCTGTATACCCCTCTCTTTACTACTTTTACCTTCATCCTGCTAACAGCCAAGACTATATCTGCTTGCTTAGTTATTCCGTTAAATAAGAAATACAGTGGTTCCTAGTACTGAACCGATTTTCTTTCATTTTTGCGGGGGAGAAGGGGAGATTCACTATCTTTTGTTTTTTATTTTTTATTGGTTATTTTATTTGCATTTCAAATGTTATACCCCTTTCCAGTTTCCCCTCCACTAGCTCTCAATCCTCTCCTCCCTCCCCCTGCCTCTATGAGGGTGCTCCCCCACCCGCCAACCCACTCCTGCCTCAGCACCTTAGCATTCCTCTATCCTGCGTCATCAAGTCTCAATAGGACCAAGGGGCTCGCCTCCCAGTGATGCCAGTTAAGTCAATCCTCTGTTACACATCCAGCTGGAGCCATGGGTACCCTATGTGTACTCTTTGGTTAGTGGTTTAGTTCCTGGAAGCTTTGGGGCATCTGTTTGGTTGATATTGTTGTTCTTCCTATGAGGTTGCAAACCCCTTCATTTCCTACTTTATCTTGCCCTAACTTCTCCATTGGGGTCCCCATGTTCAGTCTGATGGTTGGCTGTGTACAGCCGCATCTGTATTGGTCCAGTTATTCTTGCTTTGAGTACATTAATATTTCAAATACAAATAAACATATTGCATTGTTTATCTGAAGCTTAACAGAAGTCTTTCAAATTATGAAAAGTCATTTATGTAAAAATTATAATTAGACACCTGAGACACATGTATAGTATAATATTGAGCAAACTGATTAAAACAAGGTCTCCTCTCACCACTTTCATTACACAGGAGATATGTTGTATAACTGACATAGTAATTTTATTTCTCTTTACTCTGTTCTTACAATTATAAATGTAACCTTCTAATTGCTTAATAAAATTTACATATTTCATTCTTATACTCTTCGAAATCAGAGAAACAGCTTTTCTCAATTACTTTGTTGTATCATGTGTGTTAGGGAGGTGAGTGCTGATATGCACATGCCTGAGCATACATGGAAGTCAGAGAAGAACCTTCGGGACTTCATTCCCTCTTCCTACTGTGAGTTCTAGGAACTGAACTCAGGTAGTCAGGCTTTTGTGGCACGTGTTTTAACACTGAGACACTCACAAATTCCTCTTTCCTCAGTTATCATCTACTCTTTCTTAATTAAAGGTTATTTAAATACGTAGATTGAAGCTCATTAGTTAGGAGCTTCAGCTACCATAAGGATTATCTGCTTTAGATTAAACAAACTTTTTACATACATCAAAAATACTCCTTCCTGCAGATGCAGTTGACAATAAAAATAACAACAACAAAAATTATGACCTTAAATGCAAGCTCTGTGGATTACCAGTTGCATGAATGAGAACAATAGGAATGATCATTTCATAGAGTCTGGGAAGATAACTTGGTAGTTAAGAGAGCTTTCTGCTCTTGCAGAGAACCCAGGTCCATTCGCCAGCACACATGTGACTGCACACAACAGCCTGTAGCTCCAGTTCTAAGGGATCTGAAAAACTCTCCTGGCCTCCAGTACCTTGACGCATGTGGTATGTATACAGAGAAACTGACAGAGATGCAAACAAAAAATAATAAAAATAAGTGTCTTTAAAAATAAATTATTGCATGGGAACTTCCCTGGCGATGAACTAGAAATCCATGGCCTTCCTTTCATAGGGTGTGTATTCAGTCTCTAGTGGTTGATGTTGGGCTATATTCACGCAAATGCAAGGGGTATGCAACACATGGTATGAAAGGAAGGGACTCATGAGACCTCCAGTACATAAGTCAACAGGAAAACATTCATTCACCAAAATCTGTGCCCATAAATAGACTTGTCCTTTTGAAAATGACCTAGTACAAAGAATACTTTAACGTTTTATTAAAGTTATATTTTTATTTGGATTTTAAAACTATAAAAAAATAATTATTTGAAGGTTTTGTGAAGAAAGGAGCCAAAGTTGAATCTTGTCCCAGCCCTACTCTTTCTCAGAAGAGTTTTCAGAAAATTGCCACAGACAGACAAAATGACCACTCTCAAGAGAAAGTCTAGTCTACCTGGGAAAACACAGGAAAGAAAATTCACAGACACAAACTGTTTATAAGTAACAAGTTTCAACCTTAAGTCATGCAGAAATAAATCATATGTAACAATAGCAAAGCATGTACTTTGAAGAAGCTTCCTGGCAACTCTATCTAATGATGCTGACAAAACAGTACTGGCTGAGTGTTCAGGGCTTAGCTGGAAAGACGTCTGCCCTAGGCAATACAGACTGTTTACCCTGCAACAGTCTTGGACTCTAACCATCATGTCACTTTCCTGTGAATGCACATTAAAAACTCTTCATTTAATCTCATATGCAAATAGGAAGATAATGGAGGTATAGTGAACATATAAATAGCTCCTATATCACAGACAATGGCTACGCTGTCAGTGGGATCGGTGAGGACACCAAGGGATGCAGTATAAGTGGGTCTTTAGTCACAGAAAGGGAGCGAGATTATGCATCCTAGAACGACAGAGTCAGAAATCAGAACTGAAAATAAGCAGTTAATTAATTAATTAATTATTGATATCATATGCAATTAGCCACTAAGAACATATTATCTTATTCTGAAGTAAGATAAGAATACAAATATTATTGCTTGCATATGACACAGGTGCTTCTTAAAATGATTTACCACAGGAATAGATATATAAGTAAAGGCAGACTTCCCCAATTCAACTTGCATAAAACAATCCTATAGTCAAGGAAAAAGAATAGAACAAAAGTCACATAATAATACAATTACAACAAAACCAAGTCAAAACCTTGTGTGTATGTGTGTGTGTGTGTGTACATGTGCATGTACATGTATGCAAGGTTAAGAGCACATTAATATGTAAATAATGTATAGCTTATGTTTGGAGATTTAGACAGTGGATATCCATCTGAGAAAAATACAAATGGATGCAACAATGTGTATGACCTCAGGACTACTATTTCCAATCTCTGTGCTCTGACATGACAAATAATTTCCTTACTCCTCCCAGAGCCTAAAACTCTCCATGGTGACAAGAATTGTGATATGGAGCATGAAAAGACAAAAGCAGGAAGAAGAGGAGGGTAAAAGGAGGAGGGGAAGGAGGAGTACTGAATGTCAAGAAGCTGCAGACCATCATGGGCAGCAAACATGCTGGTGCTGTACACAGGGGTGACTCCCC